GCCCTGAGTGATGCAGTCGCTTTAACTGATTCATCTTTAATGTGTGAGTCTAAGCTGATGTCCATTTAAATAAGAATTTATAGGTAGCAGGCTTGAAGATCGGAGGCAGCCTCCTCATCTGAGTTGCCATTTCTAGCCATCCAAGGGTGACTATAAATATGAAATATTTAGAATGGCTCCATTTGCAATTCTGTAGTATAGCTAACTGTTTGTAGTGATTAGATAAAACCACTTTATTCAAAACTGTATGACTTGACTTATCAAAAGGTATAGTAATGATTTGTTAGCTTTAGCAGAGAGCGGGACATTATGATACTTACCTCTTAATGATTGTCATTCCAATGCTCTGTAAAAAATTGTATTTGTTTGACCGGTCAGAGAGGAGGGGGAAACCTAAAGGCAACTCTTAAGACATTAGGAGACAGTTGAAGCTGATTTCAAGATTTTTGTTCTTTACAAGGTTTTACTCATCTTTGATAAATCTACAGGCAGGGGGAATGGACCAATAAAATTAATATTAGAGAGCAATGTTCAAAATGGACGTAAGTTAATTCTACTGGAGCTAGCAAATTATATTTAAAAAAATAAAAAATGCTGTCACAGTGTGGCAGAATGTTACTAACATTACAGCTTTGCTTGCAGAGCAGCCATGTTGGGAGGCTGACACTTGAAAGTGAACTCTGCCGACTGGGATCCCAGGAAGGAAAGGGGAAGAGACAGCTCCGTGACTATCTTAGTACCACCTCAATCTGTCCATGAATCTGCCCAAGCTTTATCCCCACCAGTGGGGTTTGGAAAGATCACTAAGACACTTCTCCAAAGGGTCAACCTAACGATTTCTGGTTTTGATTCTTAAACAGGTTACGTTTATTTTTCCCCTAAAACAACTCGCTGTTTAGATGCAATTTTAAGAAATGTCTGCGCTGATGTAGTATGTTAATGAGTGCAAACAGAAGATGTCTGATACAAGGCTGCATAACTTGGAATCTAGTAAGAGCAGGTACAACTCCTAAGTTTACTTTTGACCAGTACTTGTCCTATTTGTGGTTGAATAATTAGTAATGAAATAGAAACCAGTGATTTTGGGGCCACTAGCAATTTGTATGGCCCCTTAATATTCCACTTGTATTTGTGTTCATGTATGTGTGTAATATCTCTCATTTTTTTTGAAGATCTCTACATGGGGCACTGATCTACATTGAGCCCACATTAAAAATGTATTGAAGAGGGGCTATAAAAGTTAGTTTTTTAACTCCCTCTCCCTGGAGTGGGGTTTGGATGAAAGTTTGTTGACCGGAACTGAACCATTCTTTTCCAGCAGAGAAGTGTGGGCTACTGGGCTACACTTAAGTGTCTTCCATTAATGGCACATTTGCCAGTCTTCATACATTTTTTTCCTTTGAATGTTGTGCATTAAACTTTTTAAGTACCTCTCTAGTTTCACAAGTGCAAACTGAACACTTCTTTTAATATGCTGTTTCAGAAATGTATGAACTGAAGTTTAACTTCTTTAACAGGCTATTAATACCACTGAAAGCTTAGACAAGATTTAATGCTCACATTCATTGTGATTCTTGGCTTTTCACTTAATCATAGACCAGTGAGGTTATAGGTGCATATTTGGAGATTTAAGATTTCATTTGTGCTAAATTAACTTTGAGAGGAATTGCTATAGTATGCATAATAGCTTCCTAGCAATGTGATGTACCATAACACCCACCCATTCACCCCAGAATTTGCTTGTTCATGCTGGAAACTGTACTGACTTGCTGATGGTGTATATAGTAGGATAGCATGGCTAAAGCAAAACTCACTTGCAACTGCAGAAAGTTGAACTTTGGGCATGGAAGTATTCTAGAGCCCTACTCTTGTTCAAAGGGCAGCATATACCAGAGGTCATTGGAAAGTTATTTTAAATATTTTACCTACTATTTATTTGTAACATCCAAATCTTCTAACAGATTAGAGAGAAATCTCTCATTTATTTAGTGTACACTTGATAGCTTAAACAGACTAAAGTGCTAACTGGACAGGATGAACGGTGACTGTTTTCCCAGTTCATACAGGTCTTGCATACAGCAGCTGGGCAGGTTTTTTTTTTTTTTTAAAACAAAAAAACAGTAGGAGAGTGATTATTTTCTTTTTAAAGAGAGTGGCAAACTTAAGGCACATGCAGTACTTGAAACTACTAAATGATGTTTGGTAAATTGAATGTTTCCCTTTAAAGTAGAAGGACCAAATCTTAGTCCCATTGTATTAGTAGAAAGCTTGCCCTTGATTGGAGAGTAGGAGACAAGGATTTGGCCTGATGAAAATAGGACTAGAGCAGCCTTAATATTAAGCTGTTACTTGACAGGAGGCACTACATAAGGATGCAGTCACTACAGGGGTGGGTAGGTGAGAAATAATTACTTATCTTCAGATTTTGGGCTTGTCTTTTAGTGCAGAATAAACTACTGTGTGAACTTAAAGTACAATAACTATTCTCTACTAACTCCCTGTGTGTGGGACACTTATTGCCCACTAAGAGGGCCTTTGTGCAATTTGGCTTAATCCACAAATCACAGGCCCTTACGGTGGGTGACAGGACATTTCCTGAAAGAGGTCTTTATGACCTGCCAACATAATCTTATTAACAAGTGTGCGCTAAAATGAAAAACTATGTGAAAACTTGAACTTCTACTGTCTTCTCTCTACAAAAGATGTTACCTGTGATGGCCTATAAAATAGGCTAAACTCTAGCGATCCGGTATCTTATTTCAAGTCAGGCTTTTGCTATTACAGCAGTAAATACAGCTATGATTGGCATTTGGAACATAATTTTGTATATTGTGGATGTTGGGACTTAGCTCATACAATTAGTGTGTAACTGTAATACTCTAATTGTGAATTAAATTGTTTGACCCTTTAACTCATCTTTGAAACAGAGCATAGGTATCTGAATATCTTCTTGTAGCAAGCATCTAAAAAAATTACTCCTTGTTATCAGAATTAATAGGCAATACGTTTACGGTAATGTGAATTTTTTCATACCCTAACTAGACCAGTGTTTCAACATTTAGGTATGTCAAAGGCTACAACAGGCATTTTATAATGCTAATATTTCAAAGAACTATTAGATCAAACTTAGTCAAAGCTGATACCTCAATTTTAAAAAAGTGACAGTAGAGAGACAGGCTTTTGGGTGTATTGAACATTGATGTTTGGATAAAAGCCTGTCAAAAGCAGTCTTGTTACTTAGGGCTCTTGATTAATCGTGCTTAATCGCACTGTTAGGCAATAGAATATCAATTCAAATTTATTAAATGTTTTTCTGCATGTTCAAATATAAATTTCAGTTACAACACAGAATACCAAAGTGTACAGTGTTCACTTTATCTTATTATTTTGATTACAAATACTTGCACTGTAAAAATGTTAAAAAAGGGTATTTTTCAGTTCACCTCGTACAAGTACTGTAGTGCAATCTTTTTCTGTTACATACTGCACTCAAAAACAAAACAATGTAAAACTTTAGTGCCTCCAAGTCCACTCAATCCTACTTCTTGTTCAGCCAGTCGCTAACAAACAAGTTTGTTTACATTTGCAGGAGATAATGTTGCCCGCTTCTTATTTACAGTGTCACCTGAAAGTGAGAACAGGCATTTGCGTGGCACTTCTATAGCTGGCACTGCAAGGTATTTATGTGCCAGATCTCCTAAACATTTGTATGCTCCTTGATGCTTTGGCCACCATTCCAGAGGACATGCTTCTATGCTGATGAAACTCGGTAAAAAAATGTGTTAATTAAATTTGTTAAACATTCCAATGCAGAAACTACAGAACCTGAACCCCCAAAAAAAGAAAATCAACCTTCTGCTGGTGGCATCTGACTCATGATGAAAATGAACATGCTTCGGTCCGTTATTGAGCAGAACCATCAGCAAATTCTCACTTTCAGGTGACATTGTAAAGCAGCAGCAAGGCACCATTATCTCCTGTAAATGTAAACAAACTTGTTTATCTGAGCAATGGGCTGAACAAGAAGTAGCACTGAGTGGACTTGTAGGCTCTAAAGTTTTACATTGTTTTATTTTCTGTACATAATTCTACATTTGTAAGTTCAACTTTCATGATAGAGATTACACTACAGTACTTGTATTAGGTGAATTGAAAAAATACTATCTAGTTTTTTACAGTACAAATATTTGTAAGAAAGAAATATAAAGTAAGCACTGTACACTTTGTATTGTTATAACTGAAATGAATATATATCAAAATGTAGAGAACATCCAAAGATATTTAAATAAATGGTATTCTATTATGTAACAGCCTGATTAATTGTGATTTTTTTTAATTGCTTGACAGCCCTATTACAAATATGGTACTCTGCTTCTTGGTAGTACCAGTGTAAGAACTTGATACATCCTCTACAACAGGCTTTGATTGCATGACACACATTCCTTTTGGATATGTGCTGCAGTACTGTAACATCTCATCACTAGTTCCCACTAACCAATATGGAGTAGTGAGGTGACTTAAACACCTACTGCTACCCAAAAGCAGAGGCATTGATGGTCAGATGCATGTAGCTTCACTTAGAATATAAGTCCATATTTACATACAATTGTACCTTCCATCTTTAGTATTTCACTAATAGTTGTGTTCATATACCAGATCTGATAAAGTTGCTATGCCTGTATTGCATTATTTCTTCACATGTACTGCACCTTACAGATAAGTAACTTGCAAATAATCAGAAGTGACATCTGATTTGATACATTCCTTGTCCTCCCCCCTTTCTGCAACTGTGAGACTTTCTATATACCTGGCTAGCCTAAATTTGACCTCTTCTAGCATACACTAGTCACAAATCCTCTTCCTAGCCAAATGCTTATATTTTGTTTCAATAGACTTATGTTGGGTGGGAAGAAAAACAAAACTTTGTGAGAAGATGGCAAACCTTTGGCCCTAGCTTAGTAGAAGCTTCATGATAAAACTTCACATCAAAGGGTCCATAGTAGCTTTGCAGAAATTTATTTACACCATTCAAGTTACATTACACAACAGCTTTTGAAGCTGATCCTATTTTCAATGAAAGTCTCAGCCATGTGTAACTTACTGAATTTCCAAAATTGTACCACATTGATTTTAGAGGTTTGAGATTTATCTTGTAAATTCAAAACAGTGGGAGGCTATTGATACGAAATATCACCTAAAAACTGTGGTTAATATCTATAATTAACAATTATATCAAACGTGGAAGGAAAATCACATAACATGAAATAGTTTTAATATGCTATCCACACCGCAATCTGCAACCTTATGTTCAAATATGTAAACAAATTGGTTTCTAAAATGTCACTGCAAACAAAATGAGTTTTTATATATTTTTTTCAGCAATAGCATAAACACCTCCATGCTTAAAACCATTATGAACAAATCTATTCTGAACTATATTTACATTTCTTCCCCATGCATACCGTTTAGGCTCCCCTTAAAATAAGGGAGCTAAGTGTATATATAATAAATCCAGAGGCTACTCTTACCCCATCACTGCTATACATTTAGCTCTTAGCAGAATTCTCGAGATTTTATTCGTCAGGACAAAGCATGAATCATGAAAAAATTTCAAGCAACATCTCCCCAAAAAGCTGCTTATAAGATGAAGTCAGCTACTAGTGGCTTTGATACTTTGTACCTACGTAGTTCGTAGGAAAATAATCTTCAGTTCTGTAGAGTTTAGGCAGGTCATATGTATGCTGTGCTGAGGGAGTGTGCTTCTGAAATGAGAAAATGGGAGAAAAATTCTTTTCAGTGGTAAAGTTAATTTAATTGGTAATATGTTTACCTGGGCATATGTGGGATGCTGCAATTTGTCAACATTATCTCTCACATACCTCAGAGTATATATTATGTACCAAACAAGGGGAGAACATTCCCCCTCCAACACACAATGGCTGGGGAAAGACTAGAACTTAAGTGGTTTCCAGGAGTGTCTGTCCCCCTTGATCAGGGAAAATCTGTCCCCCTTGATCAGGGAAAAATGAGAAGGCATGGCCTGAGCTGGTGCAGCTCCCAGTGAAGTTGTACATCTTGGGTATGTCTAGGTGGTGATAAACAACTCAGCACTGAGTCTCAGAGCACAGGTCAGCTGACGCAGGCTCACAGTGATATAAAATTGCAGTGTAGGCTTCTGGGCTAGGGCTTGGAGCCGGGTCTCAAAGAGGCACCTCAGAGCTTAGGCTCCAGCCCAAGTCCAAACATCTACAGTGCAATTTTTTAGTCCCATGAGCCCCAGTCAGCTGACCCAGGCCAGTGCAGCTCTACCCTACTAAACCACATTTGAATTTGATCCTGCATCATCTTTTGTTACTTTGAGTACTGAAACAGAAAATGCATCAGGATACAGGTCATTTTCTATCACCACATTGAATCTCAAACCGTTAAGACAATCCTTTTAGGCTCTACCGCTAGGAATTCTCACTTCACATTCCATTCCAGATCATGGTGGACACTGATGCCCAGCATTAGAAAGCTCTTAAGACTTGGAGACTTTATTCTTTTTCTGGTGATTTGGGCAAATCATCATCCGTGCAGTTTTTAGTCAAATTTCCTAGCCTTCATGTCTCAGTGTTAGGAGTTAATGTGCCATTAATGCAATTTATTTCACGTAGAGTCTCCTGGTCTTAAAACCGCATGCAGGGTTCCTATCTTCCCCAAGTTGCCATTTTTAGAGAATTTGCTCCTTTATACAAAGCTATTCTCTTGCAGTGATTTGTATTTTCATTATTCCTCTTTTCATTGTTGTGCCAAACAAGCCATTCAAAAATAGTCAAAAGCATCTGGAACTAATATGCAGCAATAGTTAAGCAGCAGTAGAGAACTGTGGTATTATCTTGACTATTGAAATTCCCTCTCTTGCCATCCAGACTAACTTCCAGGGCTCTAAAAAGCTGTGGTAGCTATACCATATCACCTCATAAGATCATACTGGGTCAGACCAAAGGTCCATCCAGCCCAGTATCCTGTCTACCGACAGTGGCCAATGCCAGGTGCCCCAGAGGGAGTGAACCTAACAGGTAATGATCAGTGATCTCTCTCCTGCCATCCATCTCCACCCTCTGATAAACAGAGGCTAGGGATACCATTCCTTACCCATCCTGGCTAATAGCCATTAATGGACTTAGCCTCCATGAATTTATCCAGTTCTCTTTTAAACCCTGTTATAGTCCTAGCCTTCACAACCTCCTCAGGCAAGGAGTTCCACAGGTTGAGTGTGCACTGTGTGAAGAACTTCCTTTTATTTGTTTTAAACCTGCTGCCCATTAATTTCATTTGGTGGCCCCTAGTTCTTATATTATGGGAATTATATTCCCATATATATTCTTATATTACCTTCTTTGCATGTTCCTTACCTACTACCAAATTGAAGTCCCAACCCAACCCATCCATGCACTTACTCCACTTACACCAACTTACCTTCTGTCCACTCATCCAGCAGGCTTCCTCATAGGTCTGGTCTTGTAACTATTCACTCCTGGGGGTTGTTCTCTCTCTAGTAATCCTACTTCAATCTAGACCACTTCCCCTGCTTCTTTTTCTCTTTACATGTTAAGCTCTTTTGCCTGCAACTAAAAGCCTGCTGTGAACATTTTTTCAGTGCTGCGTATTTAGAATCACGGAGATGTAAGACTGGAAGGGACCTTGAGAAGTCATCTAGTCCAGTCCCCTGCACTGAGACAGGACTAAATCATATCTAGACCAGTGAAACTTAGATGGAGGTTCATGAGCTGCAGGTGCCTCTTTACTGTGTCTCCTGCAGCTCTTTGCAGCACATATTAAAACACTGCATGAGTTAATTATTTACCAATCTAAGTTACTAACCAATCAGGATGCTTTTACTATGTTAAAATAATAAGACTTGGTCTGTCATTTTGCTGTGAGATAGATATATAGATTTCCCCCATCATACTCTTAAAATATGTATATATAGTACTATAGTAAATGAAACAACAAATTCATGCTACTTTGGCTCTTTTGGGTAATGTTGATTGCTAATTTGGCTGCTGAATGACTGAGGCCTGAGTATCACTGATCTAGACCCATCCCTGAGAGTTTGTCTAACCTGTTCTTAAAAACCTCCAATGATGGAGATTTCACAACCTCCCTAGGTAATTTGTTTCAGTGCTTAACTATCCTTAGACATTAGGAAAAACTTAATTGTAACATAAATCTCCCTTACTGCAATTTAAGCACATTACTTCTTGTCCAGTCCTTAGTGGATAAGGAGAACAATTTATCAGCCTCCTGTTTATAACAGTCTTTTACATATTTGAAGACTTATATCCCACCTCTGTCTTCTTCTCCAGATTAAACACAATTTTTTCTATCTTTCCTTGCAGTTCATGGTTTCTAGACCTTCAGTCATTTTTGTTGATCTCCTCTACACTTTCTCCAGTTTGTCCACATCTTTCCCAAAGTGTGGTGTCCAGAATGGGACACAGTGCTGTAGCAAGTGGGAAAGTTACTTCGTTCCTAAGTGTAGTATTTTGCATTTGCCTTTATTGAATTTCATTCTATTTATTTTTAGACCATTTCTCCAGTTTGTCAAGATAATTTTGAATTGTAATCTTGTCCTCTAAAGTGCTTGCCAACCCCTTTCAGCTTGGTATTGTCTGCAAACTTTCTAAGTCTATGCCATTACCAAAAACATTTGACAATATTGAATAGAACCAGATCCAGGACAGATCCCTGCGGGTTGCCACTTAATCTGCCCTTCCAGTTTGACTGTGAACCACTGACAACTACTCCGAATGCTGTTTTTCAACCAGTTGTGCACCCCTCTTCTAGTAGATGCCATGGGGATTAGCTAACTGGTCTAAACTCAGATGTGCAAAATTTAGCATCCCAGCAGGACAGGTTCAGCTCTTAGTGCTTAAAAAGTAGATAAAATTACTTCCTTAGGAATTACTGCATGTGGTTGCCTTTTGAGCGAGCCCTTATAAAACAGTGCTTTGCATAAATGCTAAAGATTCCCTGACACTTTTCATAAGAGTTCTCTTTTTTGGCCAAGGATATCAGAGAAATGAGGAGGGAGGGGCCCTGACAGTGAGGGTGGGAAGCTTAAACTTGATTCAGTAGAAAACAGGGATACAGAGGAAAAAAAGGCACATATGGGTGTGGTTAAAGGAATTGGTCAAGGAATATCACCTTAGTAGCTGCAGTTTCGATAGACAATGGGGGTGGTGAAGGTCAGAGGGGAAGCTGCAGTACTCAGGACAGGAGATGTTGAGGGCTTGGACAGTTTAGGAGACTGCATAGAAAGGAAAGCTGGAGTTTAGAAGAGTTAGGGACAATGCAGTATTATGAGGATTAGGATTCAGTGTGGGGCAAGGGAGATGCTTTGATTAGAGGCTAGAGTGAGGGAAGGGGTAGTGAGGTCATCCACCAGAAAGGCAATGGGGTAGGAGGAAAGATGCATTTAGACATAATCAGTCTAACTGGGAAAAATCATCTAGAGTCTACTTTATAATCACCATTAAGTGGTGAGTCACAGATAAATGTACTGCAGTTAACACCTAAAGGCTACAACCAAGTTGGGCCCATACTACTAGGGACAGTGCAGAGCCCAATAATAGACTCTGAGCAATTTGGGGCAGCAGCTGTCTAAGACAATACCATAGCCGTCTGACTTCATGGATGTTGCTCATATCATGACAATAGTATCTACTCTGCTTTTTAAAAATTGTTTGGTTTCTTAAACAGATTTACATTCACATTCTAACCAGTTCAAGACAACAAAATTGACCAGGGATAAATTTTTCAAAAGCACCAATGTGATTTAGATGTTAAAGTCCCATTCTCCAGAGTATCTTAAGCACTTGTATCCATTTTTTCAAAGTATTTAACTCTCAGAAATCAATGGGAATTGGGTGCCTAAATCTCTTTGAAAGGCAATGGGTCTTAGGCTTTTAAAAATCTTACACTAGAACTAATTAAGGGTGCAAACTGCCACTCTTATACAGTGAGGAAAGTTAAACCTACCTGGAGTCCCCTATGCTTATGTCTTTGGAGAGCACCCTAATTTATGCTCAGCAGCAGAAAACAGAGAGAGGTGTGGGGGAAAGTTAACAGAAAGGAATTGCAAACAGAGGTAGTAACATTGCAGAAAATGTCCGGCTGAAAAAGTAACTTAATTCAAATAACGTAAGAATAAGATGAGCTACCCATTCTGCAAGGTAACACGCAGGAGACCACACTTGCTTCTCTGCCATGGTGAAGACCTTAACCCCACCCCAAAAAACAAGGTCTCTCAGGGTATGTCTATAATGTGTAGTAAACCCAGGTCTGTGGGACAAAGGCTTGTGGACGCAGTGTTTCCAAGCCCATGCTTGAGCATCCACACTGCACTGTGAACCTGAATTTACAATTGCTGAACCCAGGTGCCTCAGCCATGCTAACATAGTGATGCTGCACTAAAGAGATTTTCCGAGTTGGGTCTACGGCTTGAGCTGCAGCCACATTGCAGAATGACAGGGCTTGGACCCAAGTCACAGAGGGACTTGGGCTCTGACCCACCCCCTTACCAGGGTTCTAGGACTGGGTCCTGAATGCTTGCTGACCTGAATCAAACTAGTGTGTGTGCGTGTGGATGGAAGGGCAGCTTGGGGAATAAGCTGAGTCAGAGGTGGGTTTAGTGTGCAGTGTAGACATACCCAAAGGGAAATTAAGAAACTATCCTCCATGGGATTGAGTGCTCTTAGCAACTCACAAAGTCAGG